GCTTCAGGGAAACGAGGAGAATCTCGATGTGAAAAACAATGTTGGGAGCAGCAGTTACAAAAAATGATTAATTCTCAGCATGTGTGGAGGAGAGCATAAGGAATGAGTGGATGTTTGTGTTGATGTGTTGCAGAATCAGAATCTCTTTATTGTCACTGTACAAGAATGCACAACGACATTCGAGTTAGCAGCTCTCCGAGGCAGTGCAAAACATCAAGAAACAAAAAGTGCACAAGACATGAACATTTTTAAAAGGTTTGTTAAGACTAGTATGTGGTCGTAAACGCTATATTTTGATTCTGTGAAATTCTCTCTAAGAAATCCTGATGTCATCCAGAGGTGTATTCATTTGCTTTGAACTCGATGGAACATTTGATGTGTAGTTTGAGATTCTATTTCTGCTGAATCTGCTGGACTGCACTCTCCGGTTTTACCACTAGGGGGCAGCAGAATTATTAAAATTACAGTCGTCCTCAGATGTATTCACACCCGTCCATTAAAGAAAATAAAGAAAAGGCAAAATTCACAAAAGTCACTCTAATAACTGGAAACTGAAAAAGTAATAATAAATAAAAATTTACTAAATTATAATTTAGTGAAATCAGACATTACTTTTGTATTGTGGTTGTAAAGAATAATTGATAAAAAAAAACAAGCAAAACTGTCTCAGACAAATTAGAGCACTTTGCTGAAGAGCAGTGAAATCCAAACACCTGTCAACAGGTGCAGAAGTCTGACTGAGAGTTACAGGAAACACCTGATTGAAGGATTGTTCAACTAAATATTAGTTTACGGGTCCTATCATGCTTGGTTTTTTTGTTTTAAAAAAAAAAATATTTCTGTTGAACCACAATTCAAAAGCAATGTCATGATTTTCATTAAAGTTTTATTTATTATTGTGTTTGTCAGTTTCAACTTATTTCAGTGACAGCTGCTGTTTTTCTTTTTTCTTTTTCCTTTGCAGTCTGTATGTCTGTTGATATTATTTGTGTGTGTTTTGGCTTCAAGGATTCAAGGCCTTTATTGGTCACAAACACAGTTATACACGGAATAATGTGCAGTGAAATGCTTTGTGTTCCTGCTCCACACCGAAACAATATTAAGAGGATAAATAAAAGTAAAGAATAAAACACACAAGATAAATATATATATATATATAAACGTCACTGACTTTAGAGTTGTGCAAAGTTTGCATCACGTCCGTTCACTTTTGTATAATAAACGAGGTGAAGTTTGCTCGTTGGCCGAGAGAAACAACCGACAAAGTTGCGCACTCGCATGTTTGACGACGAAGCTGATGCTGAGTGAACGCGAGCCGTTGCCATGACAACAGATGATGCTTCAAACGTGATCCTGAAAAGCTTTATTGACGTCTCCAGCTGTGCAGCATCTGTTCAATCAGCAGGTTTAAAAAAAAACAACAAACAACAGAAAAGTGTGTTTGCACAGTAGTATGACGTCACAGTAAACAGTGACCTTTGACCTTTTGGATATAAAACATCATCATTTTAACCTTTTTTTGATAAATGTGTGACCCCTTTCTCATTCTCTGATTGTGGCTAAAAACGTGTTTATCGAGGCCACGGCGACCTTCGACCACTAAACTCTGATCAGTTCATCTTCGAGTCCAAGTCCCTGTTTGTGTCGTGTTTAGTGAAACCTCCTCCAGATGTTCCTGATACGTCGACTCAACAGTGCAGTTTGGAAAAGCAGCTGAGGGCTCGAAGCTGTTTTGGTGTTTCCAAAAGTTCCGAATGACGTCCTCAGACGTGTTGTTTTTATCCACAGTCCAGAGATGTTCAGTTTACTGTCACAGAGGAGGAAAGAAACAAGGAAATGTTCACATTAAGAGGCTGGAATCAGAGGGTTGTAGCTTAAAAAACTGATGAATCACGTTTCAAAATAGGTCACGACTTATTTAATAATTACAAATAAACAACAGTAAAACATCCACCCATCATCTCTTCACCTTAATCCTCACCAGGGTCATGGGGGGCTGGAGTCTATCCCAGCTGACTCAGGGTGAAGACAGGTTCACCTGGACAGCTTGGTTCTAGCGGCGAGGCAGCAGTGCTAACCACTGATCCACCGTGTCGCCCTTAAATAAGGCATCATAATAACTTTAAATAAGAAATTAAGTAAATCGTAGTTTAGAACGTCGGTGTTGTGGTCGACATGTGCTTCTGCTGCCAACATGTGGTGAAAAGGTTTAACTATGAGAGAACAAACTGAGCAACAATTGTTAGTTTATTTATATTTCTTTTATTTAATAGTATTTAACTTTAGGAATGAATGAATGAATGAATGAATGAATGAATGAATGAATGAATGTCCTTTACAGTCATTACACAGTGTACAGCCACTCTGGAGAACTTCTCCTGTTTTCAGTGCAAAGTTGCTCAGAAAATATAAACGATAAAAAAGGATAAATACATAAAAAGAAATAAAAGATTTAAGAAGCATTGCACGAGATAAGGAATATCTACATACAGATAACAGATATTTACATACTGCACATAGTGGAGGAGTGTTAATGAGGTGGAGTGGATGTTTTACATGAGAGAGGTCACCACGGTGATGGAACTGTTTCTCAGTCTTTGGCTCTTTCTTGTTGTGATTTGGTGTTTTTCTTTTTTGCTGCTGTATTGAAATCATAAAGTATTCTATTCTATTCTATTCTATTCTATTCTATTCTATTCTATTCTATTCTATCGGTCTTCGCCTCCTTCCAGAACAGTTTCAGGGAGAACCGGTCGAGATGTTCTCACCTCCCAACAATGTTCTCATTCTCTGCCTGTGAGCTTCAGATCGGACCTCATAAAGGCAGACGTTCAGCGGCTCCGGCCCGCCAGCATCTGTGTCCACATGATCTGCATAGTTGTGCGTTACACAACGTGGATTACACCACCTCTGCACAAACACACAACCCCGACACACTCTCGTACATGTAGGAACATCTGAACCCGATGTGGATCTGGACGTCGGACGGCGCCGTAGCCTTCCTCCTCCTCCTCCTCCTCCTCCTCCTCCTCCTCTGCACACAAACACACAACCTCCCCCCCGTTCGCTGGATCTCGGGGGAGTTCTGCCACACATTCTTGAGCGCACACTTCATTGTAGCGGTGATTCAGAGCAGCTCATGGCCAAATAAGACGAAAAGCCCTCAGCTGGGTCGGAGCTGTTTCTGGCTGCCTGTGGATTCGTGTGACTTCATGCGTTTGGTCCATGAACCGCTCACGCCGGCTTCGTTGTTGTTTCACCTTTTTGTACCAAAACACGTCACGGCTCTGTCACAAAGAGCAGAATCTCGGCTTTTAGTTGTGCCTGTTTTTGATTTTAAGGCTGGCCCGTGTGCAGGTGGCGGCTGCTCCTGAAGCAGGTAGAAACGGGCCGGAGCTGCTGCTGTGAATCTACAACATGAGGTCAAGAGAAGCAGCAAAAACGAACAGGAAGACTCCATCTGGAGGGCGGCAGGTGATGATGTGCAGAGAAGAAGAACCTCGAAGCAACATGCAACCGAGTGAGGAAGGTTCACCAACAAGAGCTTCAAGATGCAAATCATTCATCGGCCTCGAGAAAGGTTGAATCAACGTGGGTTCGGTTCTGGAACAAGATTCTCTGGACGGATGAAACTAAGGCGTCGTTCACACGTAGCAGGAAGCACAAAACGAAGATATTTTTCTATGATTTCTCCCGAAAATGCAGATTTACGCCATTAAAAGCGATTCTTTCGGGGGTCCCTGTAGCTCACCTAGTTGAGCGGTGGTCCATGAACCGGGGCAGTCGTTCCCCGATGCAGCGGTCGTGAGTTCGACTCTCTGCTGCAGGTCTCTTCCCATTCTTCTGCCCCCTTTCCTGTTTATCTCTACTGCTCTAAATAAAGGCAAAAAAAATACATGTAAAAAAACCCCAACCAATTCTTTGAAAATCCTCCGACCAAAGTGAAGATCTGTGAATCCTGTTTATGTGTCTGCATGTCAGTAACTGGTTTTAGGTTTCTAAACATCACTGCCTGCGACGAAATCTGTTCTTTACACCACATATGTGACCTGTGTTTACATTTGGAAGCAGTGTGGACGCCCTCAGATCTGTGTTGTCTCTGGTCCAGGCCCGGATACTGCTCCACGTACAAGAACACAGATGAAGGACGACGGTAAGGACGGTTATTTTCCGACATCTTGACATTCCACGTCCGAGGCATGTTCTCCGTCAGAGACAACCGACGCCGGTTTCGGGTCAGACCAGGACGCACTGCCGGCTGGTGGGAGAACTCTGAGATGGAGGAATGTCGTGACACTTTCTGTATGTCGTCGGAGTTCTTACATCCTCACGTAGAATATGAACGTGCTGAACAACGCACTGATGCGGTTTGGTGTGGATGAATTCTTTTTCTAAAAACGAGGTGATGTGTCCGTTAGTTTTTGTCTCGACGGAGGGGGCAGGATGTTGGGTTTTACAAAAACCCTGCCACATGAGGACAAGACCTGAGATCATCTTGGAGCAGAACGATGGGAAGAGAACAATCTGTTAAACCTGCTGGAGACGCTGACGTTTACGGTTTCGATGAAGTTCTCGTAGATTAATGGTAGCAGCTGGACTTGCTTGAGTTCCTTGAAGACGTTCCACCTCTCATCCAAGAGGCTCCATCAGCTCTGACTGACTGGTTGGGAGTTCTAGATACTGATAATCTTAAGGAGCCGTTAACACTCTTGGATGCCTTGGTGTGCTACAGAAACCACTCTTGGATGAGACGCAAAACGTCTTCAAGGAACTCAAACAAGTCCAGTTGCTACGATTAAACAAGATCAACCGTGACCTGGATCTTCACAGACAGCTTCTTTGAAGGTGAAAACAACAATAAAGTGCTTTAAAGAACCTTAAATGCACTACAATAGTCATTAATAGCATGAATTAAGCTCATTTTTATGCGTGTCGTCTTAATTTGAAAATGTCCCGTAATCACACCTTCGACTTCCTGTATTTGTTTTTTCAGTCTGCGAGATTATATCCTGCAAAATGCATTCATAGGATCACACAAAGCTGCACTCAAAAGCACTTTTAAAAGCCGTACAAATACACTGGAAGCAAGACATCAAAGGTTCATGATGCTGTTCATGAGAGGGAAGCCTGAACTTCATGGACCGTCCCGATGCCTTCAGGGACCCACAGGTGAATGGAATTCTAGACCTCCAGCTGACACTGGGCCGTCACAGATATTATTCTAAACACTAATGAACCTGGCTAATAAACAACGCAGCTTGTAGGAAGGTCGGTTAAATGCATGTGTTCTAAATATTCAACCTACATCTGAGGAAAGCTGCGTCGTCAGAAACTCGTCTGCTGCACGTCTGAGCTGAAATAATGCAACAAACACATAAACCGACTGACTGGACGGCTTCCCTCGTGTTCATGAGCTGATCCTGAAGCTCTACGCTCACGTTTGTCTGGACATTCCTGAAAGTCCAGCTCACTGTGTTTAAAAGAAAAAAAACACACGATGGATTACAAACTGCAATCAGCAGTAAAACAACCTCGGTGTGTGTTTTTAATTATAAACTCCCTCCAACAAACAGGTTTTACCGTCGTCTCTGAGCTCAGCGTCGGTTTTCCACCAAGCAAAGAGCAAATGATGCTGAAGGTGTTTCAGGAAGAATCTCAGACGAGTTTGAATCCACATGAACATGGCAGCTGGAAACAACATATTCAGTTTGTCTGCATGTCTTATTTTAAGTTTTTATTTGAATCTATGTGTTTTTCTGAGCAGAAACAGCAAAGATATGCCTCCGAAACAGCAAAAGTGTTGCTAAAATAGTGAAAGAATGTCTTTCAGTCATCTGTAAAAGATGAGCTGATATGTTTAAATATCTTGCTTGGTTCTGAGCAACAGTCAAACACTCAAAAGTTCTTCACGGAAACTGTAAAAATTAACAAATATTCATTTGAAAAGCTGCTAAAACTTACTTTTTTGCCATTTCTGCTTTAAAAATGACTAAAATGAAGAATCATTTGGTGGTGTAACAGGATTTTCTCTCAATAATCGATCAACTGATCAGTTTTGCTCGAGAGTTCTGGATGTTTTTATCCCTTTGTGGAGTTTTTTTTCTTCTTCATCCACATGTTTAGAAGAAACTTTACTTAAAATATCGCAGTCAGTGTTTTTAAATGAATCTCTCAAAATAGCCAAAACAAGACAAGTTACATCCTGCATTAAACTGTCTAAAAAAGACAGAAAAACTGCATAAAAACAGCCACATTCAAATAAAAAGACAAAACATTAAACATTTAAAGTTAAAGTAAATGAAGTAGAAGCAGTTTAAGTGAATGTACAGACACCAGAACTGATAGAATAAAATGTAAAAGTGCAGCATAAAGTCAAACTAGTGGGAAAAAAAGAGCCAATAATTCTACTTTGTTTAAATAATATATAATATCTCACCAAAGAAAGCACAGGAAGTTGATCTGTGTAGAAGTAAAACAAATAAACAAATAAATAAAAAAAATCAAAAAAAAAAAAAAAAGTTGATCTGTGTAGAAGTAAAACAAATAAACAAATAAATAAAAAAAATCAAAAAATAATAAAAAATAAAAAATTGTACATTTGTAAATATTTGTAAAAGATTTTGAAAAACTTAGTTGTAGTCGTGATTGTATTTATTTTATTTCATTTTACTTTTTCTTTTTCATTTTTTAAATATAACTTCTGTTGTGATTGGTGTTTTTTCTTTTTTTTCCTGCTATATCATAATAATTTCCCAGGCCTGGAATAAATAAAGTATTTTTCTATTCTATTCTATAATAATAATAATATTAATAATAATAATGATAATAATACATTTTACTACTTAAACTACACCTCCCATGATGCCTTGCGGCGCAGCTTTATTTTGAAACGCACCGGCCGGATGTGGTCGCGCTAGCCTGTGCTGTGCGTTAGCTTGGCTGGCTGCTCGGGACGGTCCTCCGCTGACACACTTCCACACATCACCCACGGCCTCGGTCCGCTCCCGTTCCCGTCTTCCGCTCCCTTGTTTTGTTTTTGTTTTTTCCCCGCCGCTACAACAGGCTAACGGACCGCCCGCCCACACCCGGGACCGGATTCGGGCTCTCCTCCGCCGCCGCCCCTGCTCGGTTCCGCTAGCTCCGGGAGCAGCCGGGAATTCAAGCCTTACATGACGACTTGTTCTCGGGGAGAACTGCTGCTGCTGCTGCCCGGGAGGTTCTGAAGCAGTTCGGAGGACGACTAGCTAACTCGCTAACTAACTAACTAGCTAACTAACTAACGAACCAGCCAAGCAGGTCAGCGGCAGCATCCCCCGCTCCAGCAGCAGCAGACATGGCCGGAGGACGCGGCGCCGTCGGGCTGCTCGTCCTGCTCGGGTCGCTTCGCTTCCAGCGCTGCGGCTCCTTCAACCTGGACGTGGACAAACCGTCCGTGTTCGCCGGACCCGAGGGAAGCTACTTCGGCTTCTCCGTGGACTTCTTCAAGCCCCAGGACAACCAGAAGTAAGGTTCCTAGCAGAGAACATGATGGTGATGGAGGATGTAAGGAGGCTTTAGACAACATTTATCCACTCAGGTGTCATTTTTATTTAAGCTCTCGTCTACATTTAGGGGGAAAATCTTGAACATTTGACAGCATCACTGAGTTTAAAGACTAAAAATGACATTGCTATTATTATAAAACACATATCAACCAGTGTTTCCCGTCCAGTT